AGGGAGGGTAAGTTGCTTCCTCCCTGCCTCTCCCCACCCCTGCCTGCCTGAGGCCAGGGAGGGCCTTCGCGGGGCTTCCTTGCACTCCCGCCAGCCTTGCAGGTCCACCGCCGGGCCCCTCATGGGGCTCGGCAGTGGAACTGCAAGGCCGGCGGCGGCAGCCGGAACCGTTGGGGGCGGGGTGTGTGGCCTTATGACACACTTCTGGTGATGTCAGGAGGTGTGGCCTTATGACACACTTCCGGTGATGTCAGGGGGTGTGGCATATGCTAATGAGTTATGCTAATGAGTTCCCCTAGCTCTTTTTCTACGAAACAACCCCTGGCTAGGGCTATATTATCACATATGTTTTGCTGTATTCCTTATTGATTGCGTTCTCTGACTTTGCAGCAGCTCTTGCAGGGCCGTGGCTTGTTTCACGTCACCTTCAGCCTGATCCTTCTAACTAGAGATGCCAAAGAATGAACCCGGGGGCTCATGCATGCAAAGCAGATGTTCTGCCACTGAGTCACAGAACCTCCCCTAAGATACATGCACGTGGCTCTTGAAACCTACAAGGCTGCCCTGGTTGTCAGACTCCGGACTGACCCGTCCCTCCCCTCCCCTCCCCTCTTTCAAATAGTAACGTGGACTTCAACCATGAAGCTACGGTTTGCTATCCACCCCGCACTGAGCCACACTCCTGGACTTCTTCCCAGCCCTGGAAACTGGGGCACAAGGAAGGTTTTCCTTGCTGCGTTACTTATATTACTATGATCTTCCATTCTCCTTTGGACCAGCGACAGCGGAGGAGTCAGTGATTCTCGTTTTACTCACCAGTCCAGTTCTGGTTAGCCCTGCGTACAGCCAGCACAGACTCTATTCCATTTTGGGTCTTTGTGGTCGTGTACCACAAGCTGTCGATATCCGGAACAGGGTTTCCATTTTGGATTTCCCATCTGACGTTGTCGTAATTGCTGAAGTCACTGCGGCACGTCAGGGAGAAATTGGCCCCCTCTGAAACTTGGCCATTGGTGCTTGACACAAGAGTCACTTTTGCTGGAGGAACATAAAACATGCGAGATTCTCTTTAGGATGTGGTCACAAGCAGTGTTCCCTCTAAGCTGAGTTAGTGTGAGCTAGCTCACAGTTTTTTAGCCTCCGGCTCACAGATTTTTGTCTTAGCTCAGGAAGGATGGCTCCAGAGCCAACTAATTTATGCAGTAGCCAAATCACTTGCTCAGAACTTTAATGCCAGTAGCTCAAAAAGTAGAATTTTTGCTCACAAGACTCCATAGCTTAGGGGGAACATTGGTCACAAGCATGGTGTCACAGGACAGATGTTGCTCCTTCGGATTTTATACACAAAACACAAGACCAGCAAACAGCATCTGAGAGCTGAGCTGCTCGTTCAGAAGAATCAGATGGCAAAGCCCTCCTCCTGACACCGTACAGTTTTGAAGTATGTGTGTGTGGGGGGGCATGACTGAATATTCCCTCTCCGGAAAGTCTTCCTATGCATGGAAAACTAGAGCTTTGAGACTAGACAATAACCCTTTCCTCTCCCCGACAAGCTAGATTTCCAGAATCCAGGAAATGTCCAGGATCAAGGAGTTCTGGAAACAGGTCAGCATTTAAATATGCCATCGCCCATTTGCATTCTGGGACAACCATTTGGCATGTTCCTTTAGAATAGTTTGGTACTGGTAACAGAAACAAGGTTAGGCAGAGGACGCTTAAGGGTGTTCTGTCATACAGTGACACACAGACACATGAAGCTGCCTCTTATTGAATCAGGGCACTGGTCCATCCAGGAAAGTATTGTCTACTCAGAGAAAATGAAGGAAGATCCATCATGAGCAAATAGTCACCTGTTTACCCACTGGTCCCTCTTCAACTTTAGTGGCACATGCCAGGAGTAAACACTAAGAAATTGGTGGGAAATACCCACACTTGTTATCATGCTAGCAGACACTTCACATAATATGCAGCTACAGAACACAAGAAGAGATTGGATTTATACCCCGCCCTTCACTACCTGACGGAGTCTCAGAGCGGCTTACAATCTCCTTTCCCTTCCCCTCCTCACAACAGACACCCTGTGAGGGAGGTGGGGCTGAGAGAGCTCTCTCGTGAACTGTCCTTGAGAGAGCACCTCTGAGAGAACTTGTGACTGACCCAAGGTCATACCAGCAGCTGCATGTGGAGGAGTGGGGAATCAAATCAGATTCTCCCAGATTAGAGCCTGAGCTCCTAACCACTACACAAAACTGCGTCCTTATCGAGTGGGACAGTTAGCTATTGTCCGGAGATTATATTAAAATCCTATAAATGTGGGAAATTAAACTGACTGAGAGCTTCTTCTTCAAAGGGGCTTCTTACCTGTGACCTGCTTATTTTGGGATAAGAAACTTTAACGGATCCATACAATTGCTCTCCTTTAATAATCTAAGCAGCAATGATGGATGATATAATGTTTTGCTGGTTTCATCAATGTTAAGAATGTAATAGTTATGCTTTAATAAAAGCTTAAAATAGAAGCAGAAATTCTCTAATAGAGGTGTCCCCAACATGGTGCGCATTGACACCTTTCCTTGTGCTCGGCAAATTATTTTAGAAAGCGAGCGGGGCCAGCAAGGCTTCTGATTGGCTGATGGATATTTGATTGGTTGGGCAGATTTTTGAAAACATTGCTTTGGTAGCTGCAACCTCCACAGCACATGGATCTTAACTGTGTGACTGAAGGTACACTGTGTACATGTACACTGTGACATTCCTTGTGCTCGGCAAATTATTTTAGAAAGCGAGCGGGGCCAGCAAGGCTTCTGATTGGCTGATGGATATTTGATTGGTTGGGCAGATTTTTGAAAACATTGCTTTGGTAGCTGCAACCTCCACAGCACATGGATCTTAACTGTGTGACTGAAGGTAAGCTGCAGCAGCCATTATGTGGCTGGCTCCGCCTCCTGAAGCAGCCATTTTGTGACTGGCTCCGCCTCCTGAAGCAGCCATTTTGTGGCTGGCTCCGCCTCCTGAATAGGGTTACCAAGTACCTACCGCAAATCGGCAGGGGACACATGCTTTCGCGCCGGAACATTCCTGCCTGTAACACACCCACGTCCCACTATGCTGTCGCCCAGACGTGACATCAGCACGCTGGGCATGTAGCCGGGCGATGCTCTGGAAATGGGGCTGAAAACTTGATGATACCATCGAGTTTTTAAGCCCCATTGCTAGAGCGTTGCCCGGCTACATGCCTACGTCACGTCTGGGCGACAGTATAGTGCAGCCTGTGTGTTTTCTCCAGGGGAATGTTCCCGCCAAGAACTATGTGTCCCCCACCGATTCGCGGTAGGTACTTGGCAACCCTACTCCTGACCACAAGAAGAAGGAAGAAACTGTGAGGTAACTGCACTAGAAAATATTTCAATAACAATCACAAAATTATACAAAAATGTGTACAAAAAATCGTATAAATGCACAAGACAGTTGAAAATGGTGTGACGATGGTCTCCGGAATGTTCTATCGTTTCGATACTATTCTTCTTCCGAAAGTGGATGAAAGCATACAGCGACTCTTGGTCTGTCATTTCAACAAGTAGGTATCAAAAATTTCATGAATATTCACCGATGTATCATAATTTAGTTGCAAGAAATTCTCTGAAAGAATGTTCCTAGGGCAAAGTGCTTGTATAATGCCTTCGCCTGAAACAGCCATTTTGTGGCTGCACCCACCATGCTGTGCCTGCAAGCTCAAAAAGGGTTGGGGACCCCTGCTCTAACACTGTTTACTTGTATACTACACCCCTAACGAGCCTAAAGCATTACTGAGGTGTACCTCTGGCTAGGAGTTTGATTATCTCATACAGGAAAGCTAACTAGAGGCCTAGGGCTTCTGAAGGGCACATCTATATCTGAATCAGGCCTCTCCAGAGTCATCTAGAATGCATGTGAAGTGGCTGCATGGACTTCGCATGCCAGCACAGTGTCCGCAAGGGTTATGAATCTCTGGAACGCAAATGAAGGAGGCATGGCTGTTTTGCATGGGTGACCGCCCTGGCTAAAGAAGAACATAAGCCCAGGAAAATGTGGCACAAGATGTGGCAGCCCATTTGCTGACTGGGTGGCTTCTGTGGGAACTAGGGTTGCCAAAACCACCACCCCCGGTTTGCCAGGGTTCCCCCGTTTGGGGGGGGTTCTACCCGCCACCGCCACCAACACCCACAGCCACCCCTCTCTCTCCCTTTAAGTGTGTGGAACCCGTGTTTCCTCCCAAGCCCAATCTCCGCCTGAGATCAGGCTTGCAGGGAAATGCCAGCTTCGTGCTCTTAAAAGGGAAACGCGGCTGCTCTTAAAGGGGAAACGCCGGCTCCTGCGCTTAAAAGGGAAACGCCGGCTCCTTTAAGTGCAGGGAACTGCCGTTTCTGGAGATCTGGCACGCGGGCGGGTGGGGGGCGCGGCGGATGTCCCCGACGTGATGTCATCACATCAGGGATGCCCCGCCCCCTCCAGGAACGCCCCCAAAGTCCCCTGCTGGGGGTGGAAGATGGACTTGGCAACCCTAGCGGGAACACATTCAGCCGGTGCTGCGCAGATTGCCCTGGCTTCCGATTGAGTACGGGGTTCATTTCAAGGTGTTGGCACTGACCCTCAAAGCCTCGTGCTGCCAGGGACCGACATAGCTGAAGGACCGCCTTTCCCCATATGTGCCCCAGAGAACCTTGCGTTCAACAGATCAGCATCTCTTGGTTGTCCCCAGCCCAAAGGACATCAGTTTAGCCTTGACCAGGGCCTTTTCTGCCCTGGCCCCGATCTGGTGGAACATGGTCCCGTTGGAGATCAGGGCCCTGCGGGACCTAGTACAGTTCTACAGGGCCTGTAAATTGGAGCTGTTCCGCCAGGCCTTTGGGGGAGGCGACGGGCATCCCATTATTCCTTCTACTGGCCTCCCCTGCTGAAACTCCCATCTTCAAATGGCCCATCAGGTGAAGACTCGTAGTTTGGTCTACAGCCTAGCGGCTCCAGTTTCTGTTGCTACCGCCAGGTGTTTTGTTTATAGCTCAGTTAAAATCCGCTCTGAGCCCCTTCGTGGGGAGGGCAGAATATAACCCTAAGTAAATAAATAATACATTTGCACAGGGAAGCCCTTCGCCTTGCCACGGTCACAAGGAGATCTAATTCAGCCCAGATTTGGAAGGTGGGGGAAACTGAG